ACTTTTTTGTCCCTCAACTTCATTGAGTTTCACTTTTTTGTCCCTCAACTTTATTATGTTTCACTTTTTTGTCCCTCAACTTCATTAAATTTCACTTTTTTATCCCTCAACTTTATTAAATTGTACTATTTTGGTTCATAAATTATTTTTTGTACTTTTTTTGTCCTTAAAATTTTAACACTTTTAATCCCTAAACTTTAATAACTGCACAATTTTGATACTTTCATCAGTTTAAGCCATTAACTCCGTCCACTTGATATTTTTTATATTTTTTTTATGACATGTATAATCTAACTGAAAAAAAATAATAACATAGATTATTTAACTAGAAATAATGATGACATGGATAAATAAAATAATATGTAGATAAATTTTAATATTTTTAATAAAAATAAAAAAAACCTCTCCACCTATTTTCTTCCCCCGCTAGAAGAAAGAGAAAGAAGAGAAGGAAGAAAATAGGTAGAGAGGTTTTTATATTTTTTATAAAAAATATAAAGATTTATCTACATGTTATTTTATTTATCCATGTTATCATTTTTTTTTCAGTTAGATTATATATGTTATAAAAAAATATAAAAAATACCAAGTGGACAAAGTTAATGGGTTAAACTGATGAAAGTATCAAAATTGTGCAATTATTAAAGTTAAGGGATTAAAAAAGTGTAAAAAAAATTTAAGGACCAAAAAAGTACAAAAAATAGTTTATGAACCAAAAAAGTACAATTCAATAAAGTTGAAGGATAAAAAAGTGAAATTTAATGAAGTTGAGGGACAAAAAAGTGAAATTTAATAAAGTTGAGAGACAAAAAAAGTGAAATTTAATAAAGTTGAGGGACAAAAAAGTGAAACTCAATGAAGTTGAGGGACCAAAATTAGCATTTAACCAATTTTTTTCGGGTGTGAAATGTGACGGAACAAGAGATTTGAACGGAAGTTAGTTTTCCATCCAATTGGGACCTTATTTGAGAATTTCGTGGAGTTCGGGACCTTCATTGAGCGCAATCGAAGTTTGGGTCCGAAATTGCGAATTTGGTGTAAGTTCGGATCCTTATGTCATATTTTTGCCTAAATTTTAAATAAAAATTTAAAATGTGAAACTTTTATAATTCATTAAATTATTAAATTTAACTTGAGTTTAATAATAAAAAATATAAAAATTGATATTAATTTTAATATCAAATGAATTTAATTAAAAAATTCAAATTTAACTTTTATTTGTTAATACAAATTTATAATAAAAAATTATATTTAATATACTCTTAACATATATTCTTAAACAAA